GGCTAAATGGTTTATAAACACTTATTTAAAATGAAAATCCAAGTGCACATTATGTGCATTGTCATCAGCTCCAACTAGCCCTTGCAGCTGTGGCTACAAAAAATCTTCCAATTGTTGATTTTTTTTCTGGTGGTTTCTCAACTGGTAAACGTTGCTGGGGGATCTTCTAAACGTTGTGATCTTCTTCGTGAAAACAAATGAGCTATATTGACGGGGCACTAGAAAAAGGTGAGATTTCAAGTGGACTGGGTATAAAAAACCAGTCTTCAACAGTCAGGTGATACACGTTGGGATTTGCATTATCTCTCGACTTTAAGAGTTGAGAGATAGTGGATGGAATTTATTATTTGTCGAGGTTTGCCGGTTTTGTGAGAAACATTCTATTGATGTCCCCGATATGACTAGCATGTTTATTTGCTTTGATCATCGCAGTCGTCCACTTCGTAATGCAACCAAAATAACGAATTTGCATCATTATCGAGTTGATTTATTCTGTGACATGATTGATTTGAAACTACAAGAGGTACATGATCGTTTCTCGGAGGCTAGTACGGAGTTTGCTACTTTGTATAGCTTGTTTATCTCCACGAGATTCTTTTTCTTCTTTTGACAGGGGCAAATCAGTTAAGATGGTCGGATTTTACCCTCAAGACTTTTCTATATCCGATGTTCTCATTCTTGAGGATCAGTTGCAGAACTATATAATTCATATGCACTTCAACAATTTGTTTGAAGAATTAAAAGGACTCGGTGAACTTGCAGAAAAGCTGATGCAGACGAAGAAGCACAAAATGTTTCCTTTGGTTTCTAAACTTTTGACTTTGGCTTTGGTTTTACCGTTGCAACAACTAGCGTGGAACAAGTATTTTCCGCAATGAATATTATTAAGGATATGTTGGCAATTGAATGAGTGATGATTAGTTAAATGAGACTACTAGTTTATTTTGAAAATGAAACCTTCTGGAAAATCGATATTGATGTTATTATCGAGCGATATCAAGCCTTGAAAATTCGTAAAGAACAATTATAAATATATGTTTTTGTATTTGCACTTTTTTATAATATTTTATATTTTTCATTAAACAATTAGGCGCAACTTTTCATTTGTTATATTTGGAATATAAATTTAGTTAATTATATTTTAAATTTCGCAGCTTTTATTATAGCTAGTAACATTATAATTTTTTTAATAAAGTTTTTATTAAAAAAAAACTAAATAAAATAAATATTTAGGGCTAGTACCATTGTTTTAAATAGCTCGCTATTGCTCGTTATGTAGTTTTTTTGGGAAAAACGCGACGTAGCCTTATATATTTAGCATTCTTCCCGAAAAGCTTACGCAAAATGTTGAAACGGCACGCTTTCTTGCGCTATTTCACGCTATTGTGCGCTACATTGCGCTATATTTCTGCAGCGACATTTGAACAATAAAATATTCAAAAACTCATATTTTTTAGGGATCAGTCATATTTACAAATGACAATTAAAAACTTAAAATTTTGATAATGATTTTAAATTAAAAGTTTGAAAATGCAAAGTTCTAATTGAATAGTGTAATGTTTTTTGCCCGTTTTTGTTATATCATTTTATTTTTCGTTATTTGACATTTAAATAAAGAATAAAAACTTCATTTCCAATTGTTAGAATTAACTTGTAGTTAAATAAAAAATAATAAGTAAAATGCATATACTTAAAATTATACTATGACTTACCTCATTATATTTTCGTTGTTTTTTTTTATATATACCTTTTAGTATATTTGATTTATTATTAATATACATATTATGATAATATTCACATTAAACATTTGTGTAATTAACATCTATTTTTATTATATGCAAATATACTTATAATATTTCTATAAAACAAAATGTTATTTTTGAAGTCATTCCTTAAATGTTATTTTGAAGTCATTCAAATACTATGATAATTTTTGTAATTAACCACCTATTTTTATTGTATGCAAATATACTTATAATATTTCTATTAAAAAAAATAATACTCAAATAACTTACGCAACACACAATGCTATTTACGCTACGCAGTACTAGACCAAAACGCAATACACGCTTTAAAACACTGGGTGAATCGGTGGTGTTCGTCAACATGGTAAAAAACATATTAAAATTTAAAACACATAATAAAGTAATCAACCAAATCAAATCGCCAGTCAAAAAAGAAAAAAATAAAAAATCCAAAAGCCGTCAAACTCTCAAACAGTCAAACTTCAATTGCTATTATCCAGAAAACAAATAGAATAAAATGAAAAGTACATATATATCCCCCTCACAACTGGTTAGCGATAACCAGCAGTATACTAATAATCCCCTGCGCCTTGGCCGTGGCCGCCTTCAGCTTAGCCGGTTCCGGCCGACCGCTGTCTTCGTACTCATCGTCACAGGTTGCCACGTCGGACAACGCCGCCGAGGCCTTGGTCTGGAGATCCCCGACGGCTACCCTGCCGGGCCTCCTGAGGGCCTTCGAGGACTCGTTCAGGTTGTCGATGGCGTCGCGGCTCGTCTCGACGCACGTGCCGCCGATTTGGCCGCCGACCGAGGCGGATACGTATACGACGACTCGGGCGGCGCTTTTTGCCCTCACGACCACGACTCGGCCGAGGGATCGGAGGTCGGGAGCGGCGCGGGCGGCCGGGTCGGTTCGTAGGGTTCGGGTGCAGAAAGCCGGGTCGACCGATTTGGAGCAGACGTCGGAGATTAGGTCGGCACGGGAAGTGATGCAGAGGAAGAGAATGGCGAGGATGATGTGAAGGGATGACGTCATTTTATTTTATTTTATTTTATTTGTTATTTGTTATGTAGCTTTTGATATAATTTTCTTACTTTGAAAGGATTATTATATATAGAAAACTATGGTCGAGATTTTAATTTTATGGAAAGGTAATTTTTCACATTAATTAGCGGATATTTGTTTAATATGGTATAATTTAAATAAATATGGAAAAGGAAATTATAGAGTTTGTCACTGTTTTCAATGTATAAATTGAATTCACAGTTTTAAATAGGATTGTCTAATATGTATTTGGTAAAAAGATTTAATTCTTTTATAGGAGAAAATAATTAAAATTGTAATGTTCTATTCCAAAAAATGATATGGTATGTTTTTTTTTTTTAGTTATCTATTTTTTAATAATTTCAAATAATTACTTATGGAATAACAAAATTAGAAATATTAGCAGGGCAAACCCCTAAATTAAATCACCTTTGAACTCTTAATTTGATCCCAAAAACAACACCATATATAGTTTAACAAAATACAAGGTACTATATTATTAAGGAGATGACTACCGTCGTTGAATACACGTGTAGATTATATAGTATAGATAATTTACGATAATAAACATTGACAGAATCATATCATTCCGTGAGCAGGATTATAGTATTTCCCTATAATTAATGAATAATCAATTAATGGAGAAATATTTCAATTTTCCTATTAAATATTATTTGGATTATTGAGAGTATATTAATTTTCCTAGTGGTGGTCGGCTATAGTCAAAATTACCCGAACCAAACCGGATTCAGTTTCAAAAATACAATTCCTCAAGTCACATATTTTAAAACAAAATCACATCAGATTTTTTTTTACCATTTTCGGAATAATAGTTTTGTTCTAAAAAAATAAACTCAATCTCTATTAATTATTAATAATTAAAACCTATAAAAGTAAAACATTATCAATTACATATTCAAAAATTGGTCAACTATCAATAATGAATCGCTAAAATCTATCCATTTATATATAGGCAATTGGATAAATAACAATCATACAGAAATATAAAACAAACCTAAAAAATAAACTTGAAAAAAAAACATTAATAATTAGCAAAAGTTAAATTCAAGAAGCATCAACAATTTTTTGTTCACCATATCATTTAATAAAAAAAAAATATAAATAAAAAAAGTATATAAATATTGATTAAAACTATATTTCGCCGAAATTAGTAACCCAAAAAAAAAAAGAAAAAAGAAAAAAAAAAACACATCAAAATGCATCCCAATTAAACTAATAAAAAAGTACATTCCAAAATTTTAAATATATTAATTAATTATTATTCATTCATTCATTCACTAGCTATAATTGATTAATCTCCCTATCTCCTCACATCTTGTTCCCAATAGTTAGCAGTATACTAACGAGACTCTTGGCCTTGGCGTTGGCCGCCTTAAGCTTGACCGGCTCACGGCGGCCAAACTCGTCATCACAAGTGTACAAGTCACTCAAAGCCGCCGAGGCCTTGGTCAGAAGATCGTCCTTTGTCCCGCTCCCGGGCTTTCTCAGGTAACCCAACACCTCGTCGAGAAAATCCATGGCATCGACGCTGACCTCGACGCACGTGTTCGCTGCCGGGCCGCCAACCTTCTTGGAGATGACGGAAACGTCATAGGAGGCGACTTTGGCCTTCCCGGCCACGACTTTGCCGAGGCTTATGAGGTCCTTCGCTGCGCGGGCGGCCGGGTCGGATCTTAGGGTTCGGTAGCAGAAAGCCCGGTATATGGATGCCGAGCAGACATCGGATATGAGGTCGGCACGGCAAGTGGACAGCAACGAAAGCGAAAGTGTGGCTAAAATCAAGAGACTGCACATTGACATATTGTTTTTTGTTTATGTTTTTCTGTGTTCTATTTGATTTGGTGTGAGGGTTTGTGGGATTGATATGTGTGTATATATATATAGGTGGTGGAATGAAGGGTAATGGAATTTTAAGGTATGATTTGATTATGGGGTATTTTGTGCGCGTGGAAAATTATAAGCAGAAGATCGACAAGAATGGAATGTTATAGATATATATACGCACTATTTGGAATGATATTTTCACAATATATATTCCATTACTTGTACTTAATTCGATATGGATTATATATTATATGGATTAAATATTATATTTAAGAACACTGCCTTGTGTGGAAACTAGGAAATAATCTATGAGAATAGCATATATATATATATTTTTTTTTTTTCTAATTGAAATTATTATTAACTAATTGATATATTTATTGACTTAGTTGTATTATTATTATTATTATTATTATTATTATTATTATTATTATTATAATTATTATATTATGAAAAATACTCACTACAAGAAAACACTTCAATTCCAATGAAAAATTCCAACGGCAAAAATTTCCGTTGGAAATTCCAATGAATATTCCAACAAACTTAATTTTATGTTGGAAAAAGTGTTGGATGATTGAGGAATTCCAACGGATTTTGTTCCGTTGGAATAGCTGTAGGAATTTATTTCCATAGGATTTTCCGTTGGATTTTAGCTATTCCAACGGCCGTTTTTCCCACGAATTTTTATACATAGGAATATCCGTTTGGAATATCTATTCCAACGGATATATAAAGAATTCTAACGAAAAATTTTCGTTGGAATGTAAGAGGTTTTTTTGTAGTGACTACGGTCCCGTTACAGAACCATCCCGTCAAGAATTATATCCATTGGATACATATGTAGTTAGTATTAGTTAGTATAAGATAAATGATCTAACGAAAACACGCGCGCGACAAGATGGTTCCATAACGAGACCATAGCATTTTATTATTATTATTATTATTATTATTATTATTATTATTATTATTATTACTATTATTATTATTATTATTATTATTATTATTATTATTATTATTATTATTATTAGTGTATATACAGATGCTTTACATGAAATAGTAACAACCATACATTTGGGCTTATTAATATCAGTTTAATATTCATGTACTTGGGCTTCTTAATATTAGTTTGTATTAGGCCCATTTGATGTAATACATTGTATCAGCCATTAGGTTTTATATTTGCCATATATAAGGCTGAGCTAGGGTTTACTGTACTCACTTTTTCACTTTCTCGATTTCATCAGATCAATAAGATGTATTTTCATTTTCTCTCGCTCTCTCGCTCTCTAGTTTCCATCTGATTTCATATGAACATCTTGTTCAATAAATCATATTAAATAGGCATATTATGTAGCCTAAATTACTAACAATTTTTCAACTAGCGCTGGCCTGGCAAATCGACCTGGAGTTGGGAGCAGTTTTGGTAGCTGTTTCAAGCACATTCAAGCTCAAAACCGGCGTTTAATCCGGAAACAAACGGCAAAATTTTATTTTTAGTCCATTAAGTTGGCACTTTTCCAAATTTTGTCCATCATGTAGGGTGTCTTAGAAAATAGTCCACTATGTTACCATTTTAATCAAATTTAGTCTACTTTTCGTGACGGATTGATTAGCTGCCGACGTGGAAGGATTATTTTCTTACGTGGGAGGATTAAACTGTGACGTGGGAGGTCATTTTGGTACGTGGCTGGATTAGTAAATAATATTAATTTTTGATTTTTTTATCTCTATTTAAAAATGATGACGTGACAATATAAATAAAAAGAAATGAATGTCGATCGATTCATTTACCCAATTTCAGAATTTTCATTCTCTCCCAAAAAAACCCTAACCCTAATGCGAGAATATAATCGAATTCTTGAATAATCCATCTCAAATGCTGAATCAATGACGAAATTAAAACGGAATATGAAGCCTACTGAGAGAATTGCCCGAGGAATTTCTATTTCTGGTTGCGAAATGAAGTTGCGGGCTAAGAAGGATGAATATCGACCATCTCCGCAATATGGTAAGTACAACCGCTAAGAAGGATGAATATCGACCATCTCCGCCAATATGGTAAGTACAACCGCTAAGAAGGATGAATATCGACCATCTCCGCAATATGGTAAGTACATGTGTCCAATGTGCGTGGGATCTGTGAACAAGTTCATGTTTTTTATTTGTTTTGTTGTATTTTTTTATTTATTTATCAGCAGGACATGTGTTTGGAATTTGTGAACAACTTATGTTTATATAATATATTTTTTTTTGTTTTTT